GCAGTCAAAGGCGCTAAAAATAATCGGTAAGAAGAAACAGCAAATACAATAGGGACACCTCCATCAGTCGCTGGCTCGGTCCCTAAATATTCATAAAATATGTCACATAGTCAGGGGTTGTCAGTTAATGATAGAAAGGGGCTCCCTTAAGGAAAAAGGTTGGGAACCACTGTTATGAATTATATTTTTGCAGTTTAAAAGCAGCGTTAACATGGACAAAACATCATGAACTGTCACTATAAATCCTGCACACAGTGTATATAGAAATGTATATAAATGTAATAATCATTCCATGTATATCCATTCATATATTTTGTTTGCACTATACTTTGTATTGTTTGAAGCTTACAGAGAAACTTGACCTATATGAATATATAATATAAATATAAAAATATAAAAATAATATTTTATTTATGTTGCTGGTCATTGGTGTTTTTTATTTATGTTAATATGACTATGTTTATTAATATGTACACCTATTTTTTCACATACTTATGTACAGACCTATTCTTTACCTTTATTTGTTCAGCTTTGTTGTCCTTGTTCTTAGCTGATGGCATGTATATAACCTCAAAGTACTGCATGATAAAATAGCTATTTTAGTTTTGTGTGTTTGCATGTGTTTTGCAAAAACATGTATATATCATTTCAAATGATTAACCCAATGTCTGTCTCTCTCATTCAGTCGTGACTAAACTGCTTACTTTTCATTTCTGATCCCAGCTGTAGATCGACTGTCCAGTTTGACAGTTTCCAGCAGCCTGAACACAGCCAGATATGTTCAAGGAACATCTGATGAAGTAATAAATGCGATTTCTTGGCATTCTAACCACACAGTCCAAACAGACCATGACTTTCAAATACCCATCACCAATATAGATGACATTTTATCAGAAGGGAGCCTCTGCCGTGGTAAAGATATACACATCAAATCCCCCTACAAAACATCATCTAACGAGTCAGTGTCCTGCTGTTCAAGCCAACAAACTGTAACCATGTCTGAGAAAGCTAGCATTCTGGTTCCAATACAGTCCAGTCCCCTGGACTGTTCCATCTTGCAATCTGGAAATGAAAAATGTGCTATCCTCCCTGTGGAGACAACCCATGTGAACCAATTAAAGGAAAACAGCTCTTCTGTTTTCAATGGATCCATTCCGCAAAGCCCTAAGACTGGCTCTAAATGTATGTACCCCACAGGAGATGACAGTAATTCAAGCAGTGACTCCACGACTGAAAGCAGTGTGATGGTCAATAAAATGTCCGGCAGTGGTAGTCTTCATGAGCCCTCCTCAGATGAGGGAGATGTGGAGATTTGTTCTTGTGTTGCCCAGCAACCTGCTGCTGGTGGACTCTCTGATTTAAACCAGTCACCAAATGGGCCTTCACATTTTCAACATGCCAGCAGTCAAAATACAAACCTGGAGCAGACTTTTGATGTGTTGCAGGTCTTCTCTGATGTCACACCGACAAAAAATGAAAACACTGTTGCAACAACCCAATGCTCACAGCTTTCTCAGTTATCAGGGGTCTTTTCTACAGAGCAACCAGGCCATTCTTCGTACAGCACAATACCTGTGTATTCTATAGAGTACCACATTCAAAGTGTTATTCCATCCTTCGACAAAGTTAAAGCATGTGTGGCATCCAGTCCTGGACGCCTAAGCATTTACAGCAGTCCTTCCCCACCAGATACCCACAGTGTCACTCAGGATTCCGCTGCAAATTTGCATTCAGATGCTTCACTGACCTCAGATTTATCGAAACATTTGAATACACAAACACCCCATTCACCATCAGTGGAATCAAAGATCTCAGGTTCTAGCCTCTGCAAATCGGATACAGTGTCAGCATCAATTATAAACAAAGAAAGGGTTTTGGAGTGCAGAACTCATTCAAATCCCCATGCTACCTCCTTGCTTAAGAAGTCCTCTGGACTAAAAGTCTGTGATTATTCAGACTGTCCTAAACTTCAAAGCAGGCCAAACACTACTGCTCCCAGACTGAAGGGCCTAAGTATTAAGAGTAAGAACAAACCACAGGAAAAGCCTCTCCAAACACCTACCAGGAGTGAAAGTCCAGTTCCTTCAAACACCAGTGCTTCCATGGAACAGTCAACAAAATCACCACCAACTGCAACCACGTCACGCTTTTTAAAGACCAATAATCAACCTGATATGAACAAAAGTCTTGCTTTGCCCGAAGTAAGTGACAGAAGGCAAGTTACCAGTGAGCATGGACCATCAGAAGACACATTACAGACTGCACAATTGTCCCTGGAGAAAGATATTCCTTTAGGCAGCATAACACGCCGATCACACCGACCTGCCACTCAGAGAACATTTATAGAAGTTCAACTGTCTTCTTTATCTGATTCATCATCACTAGTTAAAGCACAGAATAAAAAAGTTAATTCAAAAGACTCTAAACCCACTAAAAGAGGCAAAGATGCAGGATTAGCGCCTACTCTTTCTTATGACTCCACAGTAGAAAAAACTAATGGCATGGCCAGTAACACAGTATTTAGTGTGCTAGGTTCTACTAAAAAAACTCATTCAGCCATTAGTAATGGCTCAAAACCCAGTACTATTGTAGAGACACTAAAGTCCAGCACATCCAGACCGCACATAAAGACAATGGAAAGGCGAAGCTTCTCCACAGACACTGCCTTGTCTACTAACTACAATCCCTTCTCTGTCCGGCATAAGATTAAGTCATTTGAAAACCTGGCTAACTTTGACAAGCCTGTGGCTAAAAGCAATGACAATCAGTCCTATGCTCTGGCATATAGAGCCTCTCTTAACCAAAGGATTGCCGGTTATATGGGCTTGGTTAATTCTGTTGACTGCCAGGCACGACAAAAGAGTTTTAGTTCTTATGTGGAGAATCTAATCCCTACCACACCCTGTTCACCTCTTCTTGGTAAATCTCCATCTAGCATAGCACTGATAAACCTTGAGCTTCCACATTCAAGTTGTAACAGGACTCCTCTGACTGAGGACACTCCTGTGGCTGAAGTTGAAAAAGCCCCAGATGTGTTCACACCACAGACCCCTCAGGTGCTGCGGAGGAAACACAGCAAACTTCCCCGCAGCAGGTTACGGCAGTTTAGGGCTCTCAGTATGCCTGAATTGGAAAAACTATGCACAGAGGATTTTACCACAGGGCATGGTACAGCCGCAGATAAAACTGAGCCTGGCATCCATCCCACTATATATCCCACGGTCACTGAGAGCTTTTCACCTTCTGCAACCCTGACTAAAGTGGATGTGAACCAAGGTGATCTTGGGTCCACTGAAGAGTCTCCTCAAGGAACCCCAGAGACCAATGAACAACAGGCTGGCTGGTCTATCAGGTGCGGCTTTAAATTAAAACCTGCTTATTTTAAATCTTTCATATTCAGAGCAAACGGAGTGCTGCATGAATTAGTCATAAAACCCATAAATTAGTTAGTTCCGCTTCCCTGGCATTGACATTTAAAATGTCGGACCTAGGCACCCCCAGTGGTTGTATTAAGACAATGCTGCAGACTGCAATGAAGCTACAATAGAACATACAATAGATGAACTCTTGGGAGAATTAATTCATAATATGCTAATAATATTGTGGTCATATCATGATATTATCATTTACAGGTCATATCATTAGAAAAAAAGTAGTGTGAATAGTGAGAATAAGGCATAATATGGTTTATTTTATTAGGACTGAGGCTTAAAACGTTTTTACATTTATTATTATTATTTGTCAGGTCTTTTATCCAAATGAGGTACAATCCAAGCCATATTAGCTCTTGAAATTCCAAACAGATATTAAGCAAACCAACATCAAATAGTAGTCTTGTTTGAAATGGTAAACATGGGAAATAAATACAGTAAATGTCTTCAATGTGACTTATTTTTTCTACAGTTTAAAGGAGCTGGCCACTTCTCCTATGAGTCGGTGTAAACTGCAAACACTGCTGTCCTCCCTGACCACTAAATCACATGTGTTGGCACAGCTTCAGGAGGACAAGGCACTTTCAGAGGTAACGCCATACTGCTCATACATATATTATCAAAACTTACTTTACATATGATTTAACTGTAGACTATATTGTATATAAATCCTACTCTCTGTATGAATTTTTCACATTGACTCTCTCCAGGTTAACAATAATACTCGCCTTGTTGTCCTGAGTAAAGAAGAAGGCTCAGGACTTGGTTTTAGTATTGCTGGCGGAGTTGACCTTGAGCAGAAGGCAATAACAGTAAGTACAGTATGTAAAGCTGGACATCATTTGGAGTTGAATGATCTGTCTGTCTTGATAATAATATAATTGATAATAAAAACAATGGTGGAAATGTTCAAAAACAGCCTACATATTAATTTGTTTGTAAAAATAAATATGGCGTCTGATGACCCCTAACGGTTTTGTTGCAGTAGTCCAAACATAAACTGGTGTTATGGCCGTTTCTGTTGAAGATTCATAGTGTCATAGTAATTAGATCAATATATATACCATAAAACCTATAACCTGGGTCCTTATTTGCTTTAATCACTGAACTCAACCTGCCTTTATCTGGAACAGGCGTCCGTATGAGACAGCCAATAATTCCTTTTGGACAAAACAGATCACAAATAAATGAAATTGTTTTTTCAAACTAATAGTAAAATGATTTGGCTATCAATTAACACATCAGTTATGAATAATTAGATTGATGATTTAATACTTGATAATTAATACTTGACTGGATTGAAATTCATTTTAATCAATCTAAATTGCACTTTTTTAGTTTGCAGTTTTTAAATTTGTAATCTTTTGTCCGTATTGCAGTTTTATTACCCTGTAAAAGCACCTTGGATTTCCCTGGTGTATAAAATGTGCCATACAAATAAAGTTGCCTTGCCTTGCCTTGCCTCACGTGTCCAGGTTCATCGAGTCTTCACCAAAGGTGCAGCTAGCCTGGAAGGCACAATCCAGAGAGGTGACAGCATTTTATCCATAAATGGCTTAAGTCTGGAGGGTAAAACCCATGGAGAGGCTGTGTCTTGCCTTCACCAAGCCAGGCTGTCTAATCAGGCCTTAGTTGTCATTTGGAGAGACAAGGACAGTGAACTGAGTGTCTCTGAAAGACATGACCCAGCTACTCAGCCAGAGAGGATGTGTTTTGCCAGGAAAAAGTCTTTGAAGGCGGCATCAGGTAAGATCTAGGTCAACATCTGACAAACCTGCTCGTCTTCATGAGGGTTAAGTACTTTTTTCCCCACTGCTGCTCTTTGTTAACATTAACCTGTTATATAACATTTGTGTACTTGTCACAGATGACAGAACACTCTGATGTACTTGTCCTGTCAGTCCACCAGTCCAGCTCCTGTAAACCACTACACTGTTATAAATATAAATTACAAGCATCAAATGGCCCATTATAAGCAACCCTTGCAGCTGAAGAACGTTAACTTCAATAGTAAGCAGTAGCAACTTGTCATAAAGCACCTATGTTAATATTTAACCTCTGTAATTCTGGGTGTTAAATATTTTTCAGTGGTGGATGTGTATCCAGATGGTGCTTTAACAGTGGAGCTTCACAAGTCCTCGGCTGGCCTAGGCTTCAGTCTGGAGGGAGGAAAGTCCTCGAGCCACGGAGACAGGCCTCTCATTGTCAAACGCATCTTTAAAGGTGACCTTTTTTCTATAAGTCTCTCAGAAGGTACATGTTAAAGCTAAATATTGATCTACAGTCCAATTAAGTGACATTGTAATCTTGTGTTCCCAGTGGTTCCCAACCTGTTGTGAGTTGGTGTTCAGTTCAGAGTTTATATGATCCTCCAACTTATTTTAGGGAGAGATCTTGATTTTTGAAACCATCCACCTCTCATTCCCACACACTTTTTTCCACTGGAAGAGCACAACTACAGCAGAGGTTTACTGTGCTAAGGCAACAAAATCTAATGATGGTACAGAATATAGTTTATCTTTATGAATTATGTTGATGCTGGATTGGCAAGAAAACTGTCGACAAATGACAGCCTTTAGCTTGTATTTCTAGAGTAATGTGGTTTTATGGACACGTTAAGAATAGTTAAAATGCCATATTTCTTAAAGGGAGTTTGGTGCATGTAACTTCAGGTGAATTCATACTGCTAATACGTATAGTTTTTTACATTTTAACACCACTACAAAAACACAAGGTAACTATTTAAGTATGATAATGCTATCTGACGTTGACTGCTGTTAGTTATTAGTTTGATTCATTGAAATTAATTAATCAGTTTTCTTCTTCTTCCGGTCTTTGTGTTAAGCTAAGATGAAACTGAAGTGAACAGTGACTGTGGAGACGTCAAACAACGGGAGCACTGATATAAATTTTGTACTTTTCCTTTAACAGTTGCTCAGCGGCTCCTCGGCAGTAACAAACTCTGACCAATCAGATCAGTTTACAGCCACGGCTCAGCCAATAACATCCTGTAATCCTGCAGCCGAGGATTAGACAGGACACAGTTTATCCTCTGAGTGTTAACAGGATCCAGCTCTCTGCTGCCAGCGGATTATCAGCTGTTTCTGTCCAACCTGAACACTTCAGATCACTGACAGAGTTCATGTCTGGATTCACGCTCATAAAGCTACAGACGCAGCTCGTTACCAGCTGCTCTCCAACCTCCTCTGCTCCCTGCACTCACTGCTCACATCCAGTTCAAGACTCTCGTCCTCTCCCACCATCCTACATCCAGGACATGGTCCAAGCAGACTGACTGAAACTCAAATGTCATACAAATTGTTCTCATTTCACCGCCAACACAATGTTAATGAACATCTGGAGGGACCACGTTTCAAAGTAAAGCACTATATTTAATAACCCATTAGCTTCCATTAGACAGCAGCTAACATTAGCATTTAACCACTTCCTCGCTAATATAACTGTTTTATATTTGATAGTAGATTAATAAAAGAGTTACATGATACAATTCAATGCACTGATATTTCCTAATTAATCAGCACACATCCTGGGCACATTTATTTAAAGCAGCAGTAGGTAACTTTAATATAAAATAACTGCTGAAACTTTCACTACATCCTAACAGATCATGTGTGAAAAACTTGTCTCCAGCTAATTGATTAATTGACTAGTTTCATTTAGACTTCATTTTGAAGAAATTATAATTATATAAAGTAACTAAAGCTGTCAGATAAATAAAGTAAAATGGAAATACTCAAACTACAGATTCTTCCACATTGTGCTGCAGTGTAATATCCAGCCAGCTGTTACTGTGAGTCTGTCAGGTGAAACCTTCAGTGAACTGATGATGATGATCAAGAAGTTTCCTCCTGCAGATACAGGAAATACATCATCAGTGAACAGGAAGCTGCTGAGGAGCCTCTGAGCAACAGAATGTCATTTAGACGACGTCGGCTCGAGTACAGAGCGCCATCAGTCTGTTTCCATCATCATCATCACGTCATCTTCATCCACTCACAGTGATTTACACTGTGTGTGAGTGTGTGTGTGAGTGACTGTGTGTGTGTGTGAGTGTGTGAGTGAGTGAGTGTGTGTGTGTGTGTGTCTGTGTGTTCAGTCTATTACAGCTTCATATTGCAGCTGCTGCCTCACTGCATTAAAACGTCTGTTAGAGGTGAATTTATGTCAGCAGGTTCCCATTAGCTCAGATATATGACCTCACACACACTCATACACTCACACACACTCATACAGCTGGTTTCTGTATAAAATGAACACACTTAGTTTGTTCTCAAATGTTTTTATAATCACAGATTCTTGACTTCAGTAATAGTACTAAAACCTTGATGGTAATCATTATAATGAGACATAACATCGACATGATTCCAGGTTCACTTTCATTAACAAAATCACATTTACATCAATCAGCTACCTCATTGGCTGCAAATGAATCCAACGGTGTAGTAAAACCTGCAGTTCCTCTAACATCCACTAGAGGCTTGAGCAGTGAGTCGGTCTCCATATGAAACTGCAGAAATAAACATGTTTACAGCCTTTTGGTCTCTAGATATCATTTCCCTGTTCATAACAGCTGTACAACTCACCCCTTTAAATTATATCATTATTATATTATTATGCAGAATTAAGGGCGTGGCCACTTTAAGTGATAGGCAGTAACCAGGCTTCATTCAGCTCCGCCTCTTTGACCATATTTGGATAGACACACTGAGCTTCAGCAACCTGCGGGGACTCTGTATGATTTTCACAGGTTTGGTGGTTAAACTACCTTTAAATCACAAACTTACATGTTTTCAATTATAAATGAATGTATTATATTGATTTAAATATTAATTGTAAACTATATTATTTGCATTTCCTTGGAGCAATCGCACAATTAATGTTTAATTATTGGACTTCACTAAAAAAAATCAATTCATGAAATAAGGTTAATAATAATAATAATAATATCATTATTGTTACTATTATATGGATCAAAAAGACAGCACTGAACCCCTGACCTGTATGCAGCACTGACCTGCCCTCTCTAGGGTTAGTTAGTTAGTGTTATTGTGGAGCTGTTGTCAGTATTGCATGAAATGTTACACACACTTGCAATGTGGCTTTATGTACAACATACTCAACTTTGGTTGGAATCTAGTTCACCATTGAAGAATTACGGCCCGTTTAGTGCATCGGGCCTCCAGACTTCAAAAGTTTGGTAACCAATTACAGATGATCAGTGATATCTAAACACAAACCTATAAGTCTTGTTCATCTAAATATGTTATGTACTGATTTTGGTGAAGGTGAAATATGTGTCAAAAGTTTGATTTTAAGAATTTGATTTGTGTTTCTTGTCGTCTGTCGGAGGCTCTCCACTTCATTAACAGACTCTCATCTTAGACGCAGCCTCTTCACATCAGAGCTGCTAAACGACTCATTGACCTCCGTTGCTCGCTCGCCACTTCCTGATTGGCTGCCGCTGACCTCGCCACGCCACTGCAATGACAGGAGGGGGCTCGGTGATAGGCTGAGAAGCAGGAAGCGGCGACTGAATGCATTAGCGCCATTAGAGCGACACTCTGGTGTTAATACAACACTTCATTATCACACAGAGAACATCATGAGTAACTTCTCATGCACAGAGGTTCATATTAACAAGAAACAGAACAAAAAGAGGGTGAGATAAAGAAGAAACTATGACAAAGACAAAGAAAACTAAAATATGAGCATAAATGTACAAAAATCTGAAAAAAATAAGAAAACCTTTTGAATAAAAAAAACATTTAAAGTCAAACTTATTTATTGTCTATTTATTTCATAAATTTGACTCAACATGAAGATTAATTATTATTCTTTCTATGACAGAAACTAACAACAACAACAAATGAAGAAAGTAAAAACAAACAGAGAAACACAACAAAAACAAAAACAAGATTTACAAAGAAGGTAAAGAACACAAAGATGATGCAACAAAGAGGAAGACGAGGCCGAAGAGGAACATAAACAAACAAAAAACGAAAACGAAACAGTCAACAAGGAGGAAGACGGAGATGAAGACAACAAAGACAAAAGAAAAGATGGAAAAGAAGAAAACAGAGAAGATGAAGATAAATGAGCTGATGAAGAAACGCAAAGTCAAAATTAAGAATACGACAGGGATCGCTCTGATTGGACGGGACATAAAGCAACCGTCCAATCAGAGCTCAGAGATCATCGTCTGTTTCTGTAACGAAGCAACGAAACAAAGAAGTTCAAACAACTGGGAGAAGTTCGGGAGGGAGGGGGGGGGTCATGATGGTTGACCTTTGTGGCCCCGCCTGTCTTAAAGCTGTTCTGCTTCAGTAATTACCATGGTAACAACACATCATCATTATCATCATCAGCGCCCAGCAACAGGAAACAGTCGCTAATTTAACCAGCTGTGTGTGTGTGTGTGTTTTAACCAATTATCACCCAGCAGACACACACACTGGTGTTGACATGAGGAGTAAAAACTGTTTACTGTCTCTCTCTCTGTCTCTGTCTCTCTGTCTCTGTCTCTCTCTCTCTGTCTCTCTCTCTCTCTCTCTGTCTCTGTCTCTGTCTCTCTCTCTCTGTCTCTCTCTCTCTCTCTGTCTCTGTCTCTCTGTCTCTGTCTCTCTCTCTCTCTCTCTCTCTGTCTCTGTCTCTCTGTCTCTCTCTCGTTTTCCTCTTGTCTCTTGTTTCTTGTCTTCTCTCTCTTCGTGTTCTTGTCTCTGTCTGGTGTTTATCTTCTGTGACGTCGTCTGCATCGGGGTACTCGTGTCTTTTCTTGCGGTTCTCCTTTTGCTCGTCTCTCTCTCGTGGACTTACTGCGATCGTGCTCATTGCGACCATCTCTCGCTACTTCTCTCCTCGTTACATGCTGCATGTCATCCTGCTATTGATAATAGTGTGTGTTATAGTCTCATGTTGCATGAAACATTGATTGTATGGAGATATATTGTATGAGAAATTCACTTGGACAATAGATTAATGTGATACTGATGGAGAGATTGTGTATTAGGTACATGATGGAAGGTATATGTTCATCTGTAGACACTGCTAAAGGATAACTCGAAGCAAGGTGTAAGACTTAAGGTGGAGATTTCTGCAATGTGTGAGATATTAATCTAGTCCCACAAAAAAATTACATGTAGATAGAACATTAATCCTGGATAATTGAATATATGTGTTGGGTGAAGATTAACCGTGAGGACGGAGTGTGTTTACTTATTTCGTTCGATGTAAGTGAATATATCATTGCTTCCCAGAAGAACAAGATATTTTACTAGTTCATACTATTGCCCAAAAAACCCTTGAGAGAGCTCACGTGGGTCAAGGAGGAGGGTATGGGGTGACGCTAGATGTAGGTGTCCTTAGTCGCTGTAAGCTACCGAATGTCTACAGTAGAATTTACTTAGAGATCCTATCGGAATCATGGATCTAATTTATACACTCGCGAAGAGTTATTCTACACTAGGCGTCAGCCCTAATTAAGATAATTTAATTAACAACAAATCATGAACATTCATGGGTTTAGTCACGTTTGGATTTATGGCGGGAATTGCGAGGTAGTGGAGAGTTATAACTTAGGCAAGTATTCGACTTGAAAGGAGGAATATTAAATGGTGGATCATGGATATGGCAGATTAGAGTTTCGGAATTCATCAAATGACTTGGTCTAATGTAGGTAGCACTTATTACATGATCAGAGCAGTGTATTCTACATATTAACACTATGACGCCAAATAATATTGAAACACCTAATATAATTATAAATTTATAAACTATAACTTAATTTCATTCAACAACCCTTGAATCCTTGAATCCTTGAATCCTTGGGTTTTGTCATTTTTGTTATTAAATCTTACAGGATCTTGTTTTATGTCACTGGCAGAAATGAGCTTCCATATGACATTGTCCATAATATATATATAATATTATTATTATATATAATAATTATAGTTACAGTCTTTATAGTGGAAGTATGTTAATATTATGTTCTTAATATATGTTGTTTGTAACAAAAATAATTTCCTCCTGGGATTATTAAAGAATTTCTGATTCTGATTCTGTTTAATAATAATAATAGTTATAGTTATAGTATTTACAGTGGAGGTATGTTAATAATAATAATAATAATAGTTATAGTCTTTACAGTGGAGGTATGTTAATAATTATAATAATAATAATTTTAATAATAATAGTTATAGTTATAGT